TTGAGTACAATTATTCGTGGAGGTTTATTTAGTCGCCATTTTAATTCATGGAGGTGAACCTTTCAGGAAATGAGAGATTAACTTTTTTTTGTGAAATTTTAATAAAAATGGAACGAATTAATTTCAAGTATTTCGTGAAGAGGGAAAATTGGGATCCCCTCTTCACACCTCGTTCAATACGAACCAATAACCATTTCGGTAACTTCAAAGTGATGTGAGTGAAATTTGCTATTATTCTTAATTATCAGTTTATCTCAAAAACTTTGGATTTAAGGTGAAAATATTGAAGCTATAAGTCCCTTATAAATAAATAGTTCTAAGTATCGATCTTCAGAAAGCGATTTTGAATCTCTTATCATTTCCGGCTCTGCTCCTGATTAATCGGGAGACCACAGAGCTTGAAGAGAGTTGCCGTTGAGTCCCGGGGAGTCTCTGGAGCCTTATGGAGATCCTCAGCGACGTGAATTTTTTATCTCGAGTGCTCCTGACCTCTCATTAAATGAGATCCGGCTGCGATTATCTGAGCGACAAATTGGCATTTCATTGATATTTCTTTTTTATCTGCATTTTCTTTTTTGATGCGTCACTCGGTTGGTTCTTCAGGGGCTCCGGAGTACTTTCGTTGAATCAGAGGGAAAGACATTCTATTTGATTTGATATTCCATCCGTTTACGTCTGAGTTGACGGAATATTCTCACTTTAATTTGAATTCAGTTGAATTTTACTGCAATTTACGCAGTTTCACGTTTTAATTAATCGCGCTGTTTATGTACAATTGCCGTCTATTTTCCACCGAAATATATGGATGAACAGTACATAAGTATGCGGCATACACTCGGCTTTCTGTCTCCGTGACGATGCTTTATGCTCACGCGATTTGCCCATAAAAATGTCAGTTCATGGCATAAGTTCACAGTCAGAATGTTGGAGACGGAAAATCGAAGGCAAAGGGTGAACTGAAATCACGCGTGCATGCTGAAAAAATAAAATATGAAAAATTAACCGACCAATAGTTCGGCGAGATATTTGCAAGATAAAAAAACAATTTCACTAGTAAAAATTGAATGAGTGACTGGTGAAAATAATCACCGAGAAATCATAAAACCACCAGTTACACAATTGACCCAATTTTCTCTATCACAATAAATCCACAGTTGAATTTGTTTGAGAAATGGTATCATCGATTATGCAAATAAACAATGACGGTGATTTAAATGAGTCGAGGGATATTGAAATGACGCGGTAGAAAATAAAAACTTTCTAACGATTGAGAAACGTAAATATTGAAGTCAATTTTCATTCTTCAACGCTGACTAATACCTTAATGATTTTTCTATTATCTTACCGACGTTAGTTGTAATGAACGCTGAGTATTTTCTCCATCTTTCACTCGGGCGAAAAAATTGGAACATCGCGTGTTATGTGAACACCACTCGATAGTCAAACAATTAGTTACGGTTTTGAGATTTCGTGCCAATTATATGAACCAGGTTGACTCGGCATATCCAGAGTGAGTAGCTATGGATTACGTCGTTGAAATTCCTCGTTGTTCATCCGTCCATTAACGGACAGGTGAATGCAAAACAATGCGTCAATTTTTTTTCACCGTGTTTGCTCGAGAGATGATTTTTGTGCCATGAGAAATTTATGAGTGTGATATCGCAGTTTACGATAACGCCTCATTAGATTATTTCCAGTCTAATTACTCCTTCTAATTAAATAGACTACATCAATTCCGATGTGTTATTATTGGTATCATCGAAATTTCATGAGCATACACGAGAGTAATCTGATGTTGACGTAAAAACTGATGAATTTATTCAGAGATTTTCGTGATTTTTCTCTCTGTGAGAGAATGATTCTATTGACTAGAACTACAATATTTTGCCCTCTGGCTTGAATCTTGCTTGAATAGGTTTCCTTTGTCATCATGCGTAAACACAGAGTCCGTTGTTCTTACCACTTGGACCCAAACATCTCAAGAAAATAAGAAAGCCCAAAGTCATAACCGAGATATAAATGTATTAGGCCTTAGAAAATATGCAGCTCAATAATTATGACAATTCCAACAAATATTTTAAACACGTGTGAATGTAAAATCAATTGCACCTTCATGACAATAAAAGCCCCTTGGATTCAATTCTTATGAGGCACCCAGTGCCATTACACGTCATTGTTAGATTGCGACAATGTGTTGTAATAAAATACTGTAGACTTTTTCCCATTGCAACCCCAGGTGAAACACTCGAGAGTGATCCAAAGGTACCTGAGACATTATCCAGTAGGCCACCAACGGCCTTGTCTTTTGCATTCGCCGCACTGTACTCAAGCATAAAACATTACCTCAATATACGTATTGTATGTGTCACTTTTCCTGGCTGAGTACCTTTCACCAATAACATAACGTGTTGGTGGCACAGACGTCCACCAGACGCTCACTCTAAACAATTAATATTTTTTAACCCATAATTATTTGGCTGGCCAATTATAGCAGCCCACCCAAGCCCCTAATTACCGTTTTAATTGATTAAACAATAATCCAACGCACATATTAATGAGGTACATCCTCCAGCGATTCCAATGACTCGTACACTCTCAAGATGAGGAGTACGTAATGATTTTTTTTTTAATCCCACCCCAAAAATCCGCTCATCCGATTGATTTCGTTTGTTTTCTTAATCCTGCTTATTACATTTTCTCGTAATTAGAATACATGTCATTATTACTTATCGATACCATCCCATAATTTATTGCTCTTTAATTAAGATCATGGTGATTTCATTCGGCATTGTATTCATCAGATAATACAACAACGATGGGATAAGTCTGATGCAACACGTGACAGTTGAATAATCATCAGCAATTATATCATAATCATTATCATATAGAATCAGTAATTTTTCATTTTGAGTTGCAATACCCGAACCCTTCCTTATTTGTGTTTCAGATCCTTCCACCAATATATCAAATAAACCAAGCAGAGTTCATCATCAATCGACAATACATCTCAACATATGTACCTGCCACGTAACTAACGCACACGCAATCATTGATTAAAATCAATACTGCCATAATACAACGATTCAATGAATCAAATAGCGATTGAATTAAATCGGTTGTAGTTAAGATGAGACGGGTGAGGAGGTGTTGTGATTTTCGCCAGAGATATATCCCAGGGTAAAACGATACTTGGGACGATGAATGAATGATATTAATCGACAATTAGAGTAGAAGAATCATCAAGTGGTGTAAGACGATCGTTTGAATCGAGACTTGAGACAATTGATCAGAGGAGAAAATAAATAGATAAGATGTTGGGTGTCAGTCAGCCAAGCAATCCACCATCGAGTCTACGGCATTCAGCGAGTTTCTCCTGTCTTCAAAGAACCTCTGGTGAGGGTGGACATCGGGCAAGAACATCGACTCTTCCTCAACAGCCAAATCTACAGCTATCAGCTGCACAGCATTACGGTGGACCAAGCTCGTTGCAGCAGTCATCAAGACAAGTTGATATTGACTGTATTCCTGATAGTAACGATTACGGTTTTGTTAGAACACGACCGAGATTACGCAGCACCAATTCAACAGTTCTGAGAGAAGAGCAGGAGCGCCACTGCCAGCAGAAATTCTATGATTCTGAGTGTGTTTATTCGCAATCATCAAAGATCAAGGATAGAGAGATACTTGAGGCAACGAAAAATCGAGAGATTGTTAAGAATCAAAATCCTTTGAGAGGTGCACTAATTCTGTTCACCGCTTCAACGTCATCCTGGTGGAAGGCAAAGCAGAGAGAGGAGTTGTCAGGCAATTCTATGGTGACACCTCTGTCGTGCGGTTCAGAGACCAGCAGAAAGTGGTCAAACGGCTCCACAATGACACCTCCATCATCCGAGAGGAAGTGGCTGCCCCTGACATCATCTGGTGTACCGTCCAGTGAGCGCAAGTGGTCTTGCAATTCAATAACCTCTCAAGAGAATGACAGAAAGTGGACAAGTGCATCTGTTTCGCCAACATCGAACAATCAGGATCGCAAGTGGAGATCATTGGGTGCACTTCTTCGAACACCAGTTACTCAGGTGTCCCAAGCAAGTCCCAATGCATTTGGGCAGAATATGAGTGTATCATTGATTGAAAATGGTCATGATCCACGCGAGTGCTCCACTGTTGGATCATCTGGGAAGACAATGAGGTACCCACAGCCGACATCATACTCCGCTAGAGTATCGAGAACTAGCAGAGACACGTACAGAGAGAGTGGTGACTTCACCCAGAGATCGAGCAAGGTCAGTCGAAGACTCTACCAAGAGTCAAATGATCTGTCCGAGAGTGAGGAGCAGAAGAGAAAGACAAGGCACTGTGAGGAGGAGTCGAAGCTCAAGGGCCAGACTATCGAGGCGCGTGCAACATCAACTAGATCGGGTAGAGCCCAGAGTTTCTATCTTCTCGATGACTTTCTCAAGCCCCAACCGCAATCATCAAAGTGCTCAATGAACTTTCATCTACCTTCGTTCTACAAAACTGAGAGGAATGCTAGATTGAGTGAAACTAAACCAGTTAGCGTTAGAAATCCAACCAACATAACACCACCACGACGTCACAATTCAAGTTCAGACAGTCTTGAAGTTGCAACGAGCCCATTACCACCACCGGTACCACCACCACCACCACCTGAGGCTACTGGTGTAAATGGTGTAGCTAAGGAGAGGGAGAGACTTGAAATTGGAAGGGAGAAAGAGGGATGTCCCTGCAAAATGTGCTGGGCCAATCTTCAGCAGAGATCATTTCGGGATGAGGTAAGTCACATCATGCTTATCATCAACGAAACACTCCTATCATTTGATTGACAATTGTTTTACAATATGGGGTGATTTCACCAATTACATTTCGCAACGATTCATATGTCGTTGAGAATCGATCACATCTGGCCGATCGTGAGACTGTCGCGGGGTATCTCGCGATGGGCTATTGCAATATTTTTCCGACTTTTTTACTTCGGGTATTCGATGTCTAGACGTGCACGAGGCTGTTCAATGGGGGGACTAAAGGAGAACAGCCTTGTTGATGGGTAAATCGATGCTGAAGTTGAAGCAGTCATTTTGCATTTTTAATATCTCTTCGGGTTCCATTAGCATCTGCTGGCGGAATATAGGGAATCAACCGTTGGTTGATGAGAAGTTTTTTTAAAAAAAAAGTCAATTTTCTCCCATGACAATCGTAGATATTTTATTTTTGAAAACTTTTGATTATTATTATTCAATTTTTTTTTAATCAATGGGTATTCGATGAAAAAATTCTTTTCCATTCTTCAATTTTCACTGTCTCTGGAGATTTTAATATCATCATCCTACCACACATAATTGGCAGAATGATATTTTCCCAGTGAATGCATAGATTTTAATGTCTCAACGGCTCTTCGATAATTAACGCGATTAGATGTCGTCGTTTGCTCCATCCCTGTGTGACGAAACGATAATAACTTCAATTATCTTCCTCGGCATTTCCTTGAAATAGGATGAGCTTTTTAAACCGTTGAATTGGTGAAAGCCGCGGGTTATTCCATTAAAGTGGCCAATCAGACAATGTCAATGCATGTAGTTGGTATTTTAACCGAAATGAAGAACCAATCTCGTTTATTTTTATTGATTCTGCTTTGTTGGAGGCGACTGCCGACGAGCGTGTAGTTGCGATGGGATAATCGATCGTCGCGTCAGGGAAAAAAAAATGTAGAAACAGGGAAAGTACTGGCACGATATGGAGATAAATGTGGTAGGTCCTATGGGGAAGTATTTCAGTTGGATATTTTATGGGATGGAAGGGGTTGTTGGGTACAGATTGTGCGATGGATCCAAGACAACAGATTTTATCGATTGGCTCGGGGTAACGAGACTTGCTGTTGTAAAGATTTCGTGGTATTATTTAAACTTTGAAATAGTGAATTTGATTAATTCGATTCCCTCTGTCGCAAAAATTATATTCAGAGAACTTTAGCACGACGTAAATTGATCGTTTCGGGGGGTGACGATGATTTTTCATTTTAAATTCTCGACTGGGGGATAAACGAAAATAATAATGAACCACTGAGAAAGGAGTGACTTGAATGAGAATCCGTTGAACAATGATTCTAACGAGGCGAATGTCGGCCTTTCGCGTTTTACCGCGCAAGAGAATAAGACAGTCTTGAAGTGGCATCAAACCGAGATCACAATCCAAGATACCTCCAGACCCCTTTTACATTTTCATAAACAGTTTACATAAGAAAATGCGAAATCACTCGGTGCATTTTCTCACCATTGACACAAGATACTGAAATGTTATTTTATTTGCCGCGGCTGGAGGTGATTGGGCAAGTCGGTCACTGAGATAAAGATTAAGAATATTTATCCCAAATCAGAAGTATTTTTTAAAATCAATCTTTAAATGGACTGGTGAAAAATTGCAACTGAAATTTCAAGTGAAAAAATTGTGACATGAAATTTCGGTGGAATTTTTCATTCACTTCAATTTATTTTTGAAATATTCTGGTAATTCTTTATTTTGAAAAATTGAAAAACCGTGAAAATTTTGACAATTCAAGTTTTCATTGAAATATCAATTATCATTTGATATTAATTTCCAGCATTTTTCGACTGTTCTTAATTAAAATGAAATTCAAATTTGTATAATTGAAAATCCAGATGAAGAAAAACATAAATATCCATTGATCTAGAAAAACTATTGATTTGTTGAAAAAATATTGATGAATCCTCCAAAAACTGGAGATGAAAATTTCTAATGAATCACGTAACACGATAGATATAATAAACTCTACAACAATTTTCAACGTCAGTACAGATAAATGGCCTCCACTTCTTCATCTAATTGAATAATTGGAGCCGATCCGATAAGATCGCGGTGGAATATGTAACTCGAGTCATTTACGTCGCACTCGGTCCACTCATTTATCAGTGCCCAGTACTCATACAATTCTGCCCAGATCACAGATCGTTAGATTAGATTTCCAACATCTGAAGTAACACATTGTTCAATCGACTTATCCATTGTGCGACGATCTCTTGAAGATCGTGGCGACGATTATTACCAAATACTTGAGTCATTCCCTCTAATCGACAGGTTCTTTCGGCTTACGATCAGAAAGGGAAGCGAATTTCTCCATTGAGAGGGGGGAGGATAAAAAAAAAATCGGTAAGGGAAAATCGGTAAAGGTTTGTGAATTCTGTTGTGAAATCCACCGATACTTTCGAGAATTTCGTGGACTGGTCAGCTGAGATCGAAAATACGATATTGAGGCACGGGCCAATGGATATCTCACGGTTAAGATCTTACGCCCCCCCCCTCCCCTCTCCCCCCTTTTTTTTTACCCCCACTTTTCGGCGGTGTCCATCGGTGCGTCCAGTGGCAGGGTGATTTATCGTCATCAAAATGCGTTGCCGTTTGGTCGGACCTCATTCCACGTATTTCTTCTCTTATTTTCGATTTATACATCGAGTTGACTCTGTCCCGGGTCTTCAGTGTTGGATAATGGGTTCGAAATACTTTTCCGGCAAGTCTATTATCATAATGCACTCGTGAGTGCATTCATCATCGTGAATCATTCACGGAATATTTTTCAGGGTCTCCCTTAATATTTCTCTTTGGGGATTAATCACTTCTTGATGTTAACCGATTTTTCTTCGGATATTTTCATCTCCTTTTTCTTCTGGAATGAAATGAAAATTTTTATTGCCTTTCGTTGCATTTTTAGGTGCTGATGGGTGGATTGATTTTTTTTTTTTTGGTTGAAATTGGTTTTTCTTCGAAGAGTAATTTTTTGTTGAGAGGAGTTTTCCTGTGCCGATTTTGACAAAGTCTTTCATCGAATTCCTGAATTTCCACAAATTCCATAAAAATGGGAACTCCGTTATAAAATTCTTCTATAAATCCCTGAATTTCCTCAAAAATTCAAGTGGAACTCCAAGTCAGCATTAAATATTAATTTTCATTTACAAATCTATCTAAATACTCCATTTTTAATTACTAAGGAGTATTGATTTTAATTTGAAAGAGAAAAATTGGGTCTCTGGTAATTATTGAATTGATTTTAATCGAGGTATTCAAATTTTTCCCTCGCTCTGCAGAATTGAAAATATCCTGTTGCCTCAATCCATCACTGACCTCTGGAATTTCCTGTCATCGTTGTCAACCTTTAAACATCCCCTTCAAACTTCATCCAAAAATATTATGCTTTGTCAGTGTTTCGGTCTCCGGTGTCTGGAATGGTAAAACGTGTACACAACTCGAATGTTTTTAACCAACTTAACTCCCAACACCCATAACTGGTGCAGATAAAAAAAAAATCCCTCCACTCGGGTCAACAAACATTTTTGTCAGCCCTGGATATTCCACATTCCACATTTGACGTTCACTAAGTACACAACAGCCGAGGGTTTACACATTTCATGTAATCTCATTCTTATCTTCCGCATCACAATGGAAAATAAACAAATATCTGTACGAGAGATGGATAAAACAAACTCCATGATGAATTCTTGGTGATTCGTTACAGAATTACATTTTTTTTTTGCATAAATCATTGGATGTTTGGGTAATGTGGACACATTAAAAATTATTTCATTCATAATTTTCAACATTTTTAAAAATATCGAGGATTTAAGAATTATTTGATTAATAGACTGTCAAAAGAAATTGCAATCAATGAAAAAAAAATCGTTAATAATGATGAGTGTTGAACAATAAAAAAAATCATTTGGTTTGAAATCATCAGTTGACGTTCAATCTGATTTCTTATCATTTTATATAGACATTCGACAGTATTAATTGCAACTACACAAATTTAAATAAAAAAAGGTCCACATTATCCCGCACTTCTCTGATTTAATTGATTCATGGTGTTAAGGAGGGGGAAGAGGAAGTCATGTGTTCTACTCGCCTTTCGCCGTCTGCACTCGTGGAAATAGATTGAGACTAGAAAATAAAGCATAGGAAAAAAAAAAAGTGGAGAAAAAAAAATGAGATGGGCGTGTTGTGGATCTGCAAATAAGATGCATACCAAGGGAAAGTGGAGTAAAGAGCCTGTGACCCTTCTCATGCCAAAGTGGCATTCGGCCTAACTATTTCTGAACCTCACCCGTATAGACATCGGGGCCCCCTGGATTTCTCGTGCAGCCCAATATAGATACAATATTATTTCATTTTACGTTCATTTTACATTTTTAAATTAATATTCCACAGTTAAATGGTTTTTCTATTATCGGGGATTTCATTTTTGGAAATTGATTAGAATGGGAATTCCTCATTTTCTATTCTTCCACGTTGATATTTTATTCAAATCACTTACTACTCGGTATTATTTTCCATAATGAGTACGTGTGATTGTTTTTTCTATTTGTACAGAACGTACTGAAAACCACATTCAAAATTATTCAAGAAGTAAAAAAGCAATTCTGCAGATTTTCTGGCAATATCTCCGCATCTAAAAGAGATAGTGATATTTTTGTTGGAACCTTTTTTGTAGATCTGGGGTCAGGCTATAAAAGAAGTTCTTAGGAATATTTTCGTAGGTTTGATAGATCCAGAGATATCTCTCGCTAAAAGAATGAGGGGATCAGTTGATTTGTGCGATAGTTTTCGGAATTTTTTCTGTTAATTACTTTAGAATTCTAAAAGACGTTTTGGAGAATAGGATAAATCGATGATGTAAATATGACGTCGAACTGAAGAGATTGATAATTAATTAACGGTAATTAAGTGACAGGATAAATTAAGTTCTCGTCCTTTCGGTGTTATTCCATTCTTG